ACGCGCCATATTTTGACGACACAAAAACCAAGTCGACACAAAATGCTGTCGAAGAAGTGTCCACTTATGCGAGTCTTAAATTACCCTGTACTGCACAAATTGCTATGCTAAGCTTTGTCGCATACGATTGCGTAAACTCGGGTATACTAGTGTACTTTATAGTGTATAGAAAGGATAATTCATCTCCTGCCTGATGCAAGAATAATACGCTGTTTGTGGCTGTTCGTCCAGGAAGGCTGTATGAACGTTAAAGTTTCCAGTCTAACATGCTAAACATACGAAATTCATGATTGCGGCATCCTTCTTTCTCTTCTTCTACTCCTGTCTACTTCTTTGTCATTTTCTTCTCTCTCCTGTCTTTCAATGCGGCGGACGCTCATCCGCATCCCAAAACTGGCTCATCAGACTCTTTCAATAGCGTAACATAGACTCCAAAAACACATCGCTCGCCTTTTCTTTTCTTTCCTTTTCCTTGCTCCCCTTTCCTGTAAAAATAACGTGAGAGAATTTAATATTATTAAAATTATATAAATTATAATAAAATTAAAATGTAATCGCTTATGTTTTAAATATTAATTAATATTTATTAATAATATAATTGATGATATACATCATATTGATTGATATTATATAGGTAGAGTTAAAATTTGTTGTGCCAACCCAGACTCTTTAAATAATTAATTATTATAAATAATATAAATACAATATATATAATATAAATAATATATTATTAAAATATATAGTTATTTACATATTATATAATGAAGTATATTCATATATTGATTCTATGATATAATATGAGTGCTATATTAGGGCTGAGATATGGTATTGATAATGATATGGCTGTTAAATTAGTGTTGTGACCAACCAGCACGGCAAAGATTCTGCATCATGACAAGAATATGTTATAACGATAATAAAAATATCTACCTTTGTGCTAGTGCACACTTCTTCCTTATTCTGCAGTTATTTCTTTTCATTGGATTAGGTGCTGCTGGCTGTAGGTAACTGTATGCCTGAAACATTTATGGTCTCTTTTAGTTTTATATCCTGTATGATTATGACTGCAGACTTAAATTTAGTCTAATCATATGCTACTACCAATTCTTTTAAATTACGGCGATACTTGCAAAGAAAGACCATTCACCTGAACAACCGTCGTTGTGTTGCAAATACATATGACGGACGACACTAATTTCGCCAATCAGCTGCAGTCCACCGATCTTATTAGACTACAATGACAAAACACAAAATACATAACTTTCATTTTTGAGTCATCACTTATCTAAAAAAAGTCTGTAACAAAACTTTCTTACATATTTTCTGGCAAGGCAGAAAATAATTAGCACAGTGCGACGCCTATTTTGTTCTGGCAAAATGGGGAAGAACCCCGATATTAGCGCCACTAGTTACTACCATAGTCGTTGCTTCAAACCATTGATCAAAAGTATGCTAGTTGTGTTAAAATTCCAACCATCCCGAAACGCCCGTGTCTTGTGCTGTACACCATCGTGCCTGCTGTTAATATTAGCTGTGGAGGCGGGAGGCACGATGCTGTCAGACGCGTGGGGCGTGTAGGGTGTGCACCACTGGTCATGATAGGAGAGCGACAGCAAAACTTCTGATTCGGGGAGTGAGAACAAAGCTTAAAAATTTACGATTTTACACTGTAAATCACTTAATATGATATTCACTGAACTAAAAAATGTGCCTTGATCGCTTCAAGATGAAAGTAAATTTGGATAAAGCTAAGAACAAAATTCGGGTAACAAAAGAACATTGTGTTCTTGTCGCCCGACAAGTTTATTCAAATGATCTATTGTGTAACTACAATACGTTAACTTACATATCCATTAAATCCTCTTCCTGCCCTCATTGGCATTGGTCATCCTCACTTACTGCCTCAGCCTGCACGTATTCCAGCAACGCTGCTTGGGTTCATGCAAGACGCCTTCCCGAATACTTCTCCAGATCATTAAGATAGCTGCACGTTGTGCGCCGCTCTTCCCGATCTGGATTGTTGTCTATCAACAACTTTCTTGTACTGTCTTCATTTCCCTTGAGGCGATTACTCACTTGCAGAATAGTTTTTATGATCGCTCGCAAGTGCCGAGTTTTCTACCATCTGTCTTGGTAGCACTACTCGATTTCTCGAAGGTCCCGTTATTGGTTCCTGGAATAAAATCAGTTTCCAGCAATCTCAAAAGCGCCGAGCGTTCTCTCGGATAACCATAGTTCTCTCTTTGTTTGGCCATTTAAATATTTATACTATGTATATTTAGTAAAAATACTGAAATGTAGGATCCGAAAACTGTGCTATTGCTGAACTATATATAGGCAAGGGCCTCGTGTAGGGTGGCTCGAACGATTTGACTAACAAAATGCGATGTAAATAAACAATGTATTTAGATGAGCCCTTTGGGTTACATTGTTTTCTATATTTCCATTGTGTTTTCGTCATTAGTGGTTCGGTGAGTACTAATTCAACTCGAGTCGCTTGCGTTCACACGGCAAAAATGAAACTCAGCGCTATCGAGTCGTTTCGGACTCGATCGTTTTCGTGCACCACTCTGGAGTGGTGTGCGAAAACGACTCCCGGGTCGCAAACGATCCCGAGTCCGTTTCGTACCTAAGATAAACGTCCGTGGTGACACGCTCGTCCCGCGGACGCATTTGACCACTGGGTCTTTTCGACCCGAGTTCCTTCTCTCCGTTGAACGCGCTATGAACATACTTTGATTAGTATAATTTATTGGATATAAGAGAAATTCTGATGTTTATATCTTTCATGATCAGTTTATTCTATTCAAAAAGTATGTTACGTAGCCCATCGTGTGAACCAAAGCGGCATTGCATGTGTTATAATTTTCTAGGTAATAGATCTATAATATAGGATATTTAGCACCTAGAAAAATTATGTTTTTGCTTTCTATACTTTATCTTGCCGTTTGGATTGCTCGTTTGTCAGATTGGATGAAGACATTATATTCAATCTGACGCACCAGGATTGATAAACAGGTATAACATTAATAAAATACTAACTTATTAGTACTTATAATGTAGATCATTTCGTATTTTTTCTTATTTATTGGCTATAAAAGTCCGTCGCTCCTGCATAAGTGATAATTTGTCATTTTCAAATATCGATTAATTTAATAAGATGCTTATCAAAAGCCAGATTCCCAGCTGTTTGCGATGATCAACGTTTCAAAGGACGGGCCTATACATCAATGAGATCCAGATGAGCTGGGTTTATTTATAGAGCCATCTTATGGCTATTTTGCTTACAGACCGTTTACAATTCTGCCAATATCTATGTGCATGAGCTTTGCTCATAACCTGTCATTAGTTTGGTCGAAACTGGAATACAGCCTTGCAAAATTAACATGCGAGTTAAAAATGGCAAAACTTTTACGTTACGGCCACTGCTACAAATAAGTCCATATCCATAGTCTGTGTGGAATGCTACAATAATAATATTTATGGAAATGTTGTCGTGGAGTATATCTAAATTAACTTAATGCATGATTAACGAGAACATAATGACTGTGCTGGCCCAAAACGTACAGCCATTAGGAAGGAACTGGCAATCAATAGCATTACTGGTTCAATTCTACATACACTCTCAAATACATGGAGATAAAAACAGTCAGGTAGGGACATATTTTTATACCGATTACATGAATAAAGTTTTGTCACGCTTTGCCATTATTCATCTTCTCTGTGATTACTCATGAGAAACTTGAGGCATTAAGAGTTCTGATAGTCGTCCATTTTCGGTTGTGGCTGTTCTCCAATGTCTTTAAGAAAAACTAAATTATTGATGTAATGTCTACCATGGTTATAGCCATACTATGTCTTGCGTTCATTATGTTAACCTTACTCCATGAACGTAGCTATGTGTGCTATTGATATTTATTTTTAATTATTATTGTTTTAGTGATGGAAATACTACATGACTAAACTAGAAGAACCAGTGGTTCAATTTGATATCGCATTCAATCTCAGTAGTAATAAAAAAAGTTAATTGTAACGTGTAACTCTTTGCGCATTTGCACACTGTCAGTTATGGTCATATACCAGCAACACACACAAGAACAAAAATGGCCTATGGCGTATATTTACTAGTAAATCCTACATAACTTTGCTGCCAATTATACAATTAGTCACACCACCAGTATCATTATAAGCAATTAATATCATCTGCAAACTATTTCAGATTGCAAGATAGAACCGACAAGTATCACACGTGAGATGCTATCATCATGGTATGTGCAGTATATTCAATTAATATGCCCAATAAAATCCTGTTCTAGATGCGACTAGGTGTAAGCATGTTACTATATGCGCGTTGAGTTTCATTTCCAGTGCAGGTACTCAATTATTACCTCGTCTACATTACGGCCCTAATGACGCCTACGTGCCAATATCAGTGCATCTGGGTACTATTATTACTCGTCTTGAGCATCATTGAAGCTGCTAATGACAGCCATGCTCATACGGCTAAACGCGCCATAAGGAGTGTTCCCAACTTATGCATATGATTTATGATTATAATCCTTAACCCCTAACCCGAACCTAAATGACATTATGAATCCACATACTCACTATTATAATGGATCCATGATCCATTATTACTATTATTATTTAATATAATATATTTATTAGTGAATCTAAAGTGGATTACGTCACCGAAATAGATAAAAAAAAAAAAAAATCCTCATTTTTACACAACAATGCAAGTAATTTGCTTCCACTTTATTTATATATCTTTATTTACTAGGTATTCCTATTGTTGTAAACAGATGTAAGTTTACTCAGCACGGTAACATGTATCCCAGTTGGCCTACTCCCATTTCATCTACTCTCAGAATCGGCAATATTCCCATTTCGCCTTCTCCCGAGTCCCATTTCGTCTACTCTCAGAATCGGCAATATTCCCATTTCGCCTTCTCCCGAGTCCCATTTCGTCTACTCTCAGAATCGGCAATATTCCCATTTCGCCTACTCCCGAGTCCCATTTGCGTTCTAGGCAACTCTCAGAATCGGCAATATTCCCATTTTACCTACTCGGATACTCCCATTGACATTGACTGTAGTTTGTACTCCCATTGTATGTTCCAATTTTGTGTCTCCATTTTTGTCAAGTTGTGTTCTCATTATTTGTACCTATGACAGCTATGTTTTAGTTCCTGTAGGACTCTTATGAGTATGCCAATCAAAACCACATTTTATTATTTATAAATGATTACCGGTATTTAGTGAACAAACTGATCGTAGACGAAATGGGAATGGGGTAGATTTTGAGCGTAGAGGAATTGGGAGTAAGCGAAATGGCCCCAATGGGTTTCAATGGTACCCATGTTTTCTATCCTTGAACCGGTGAGGGCCGTAGCTCTAGTACTATAGCCCGCGTTCATTAACTGCCGCAGGGCTATAGAACATTGTCAGCTCGATTTCGCTACTGCATTTGGTCCTGATTGGTTCCACGAAAAATGGCTCAGACAATGCAAAATGATCGGGCTTTTTAACACATAGTTATCTACATGGACATCTATGTTTTTGAACACTTTCCACAACTTTACACCATGTACGTATTTATGCCTTTAATAGCTTTATTCCTCACAAGTCAGCACTACTGGGTGTACCATTTGAAATATTGTGGCGTGCGAATGCGTGACGCCACCGGATATGTCGGCAAAACACATGGCAGCTATGGTGCATGTATCAGGGTTCTCCCTACGTTGCACAAACAGGGCGCGCACGCCCCGTTTGGGAAACCTCGCGCATAACGTGCAGCTACTTTAATGATCTGGACGAAGTATTGGGAAGGCGTCCTTGCATGAACCCACCAGCGTTGCTGGAATCGTCATCGGCTGAGGCAGTAGTGGAGGATGACCAATCCAATGAGCAGGAAGAGGATTTAATGGATAGTAAGTACACGTATTGTAGTTACACAATAGATCAATTTGAATAAACTGTCGGGCAACAAGAACCAATTTTTACTTGTCCGAATTTTGGTTTTACTTATCCAAAATTTACTTGCAATCTAGAGCCGTCAAGGCACATTTTTAGTTCAGTGCATATCATATTACAGTATTTACATGTAAAATCGTAATTTTACAGCTTTTTTCTCAACTCCACGAACGAGTTTTGCTGTCGCTCTCTCATACCAGTGGTGCACACCCCTACACGCCCCCACGCGACTGACACAATCGGTGCACTCCCCCTCCCACGTACTTTAATCCAGCAGGCACGATGTGTACAGCCACAGACACGGGCGTTTCGGATGTTAGGAATTTTACACAACTAGAAATTTTTGATCATGGTTTGAGCCAACGACTATGGTAGTAACTAGTAGGCCTAATACTGGGGTTTTCCCCATTTTGCCCAGAACAAAATAGGCGTCCAAATGTGTAAAATTATTTTCTCCTTCAGAATATGTAGACGTTTTGTCACAGACTTTTTTTAGTAATGTCGATGACTCAAAAATGAAAGTTATGTATTTTGTGTTTTGTCATTGTAGTTAATAGTGATGTGGAAACTGCAGCTGATGGCGAACTAGTGTCCCCGTCATATTATTCAGAACCAACACCAGGTTGTTCAGGTGAGTCTTTCTTTGAAGTATCCCGTAAATTTAAAGAATTGAGTAGTAGATATGATTATATAATTTTAAGTATGCAGTCATAATCATCAGCAATAAAACTAAAGGAGACAATAAATGTTTCAGGCATACAGTTACCTACAGCCAGCAGCACCCCTAAATCCAATGAAAAAGAAATAACTGCAGAAAAAGGAAGAAGTGTCACTAGCACCAAAGGTAGATATTTATTATCTTATAACTGCTATGTCAGACGAGGTAATAATAGTACCTGCACTGTATGGCAGTGCCGTCATTAGCCAGCTATGTCAGACGAGGTAATAATAGTACCTGCACTGGAATGAAATATCATCAACCGCATATGCAACATGCTTACACACTAGTCCACTCTAACAGGATTTATTGGCATATATATTGAATATACTGACATACCATGATGATAGGCATCTCACGTGTGATACATTGTCGCTTCTATCTTGCCAATCCTGAAATAGTTGCAGATATATTAATCTCTTAAATAATACTGTGTGTGAATAATTAGCTATAATATTGCACAAGTTATGTAGGAATTCTAGTAAATATAGCCATTAGCCATTTTGTTCTTGTGTGTGTTGCTGTATATGACCATAACTAGACAGTGTGCAAATGCCACAAGAGTTACACTTACAATTAACTTTTTTTATTACTACTGAGATTGAATGCGATATCAAATTGAACCACTGATTATTCTAGTTATAGTCATTGTATTTCCATCACTAAAACAGAAATAATAAAAATAAATTATTCATAGCCACACATAGCTACTTCATGGAGTAAGTTAACATAATCAAGCAAGACCATAGTATGGCTATAACCATGGTAGACATAATCAATAATTTAGTTTTCTAAAGAATTGGAAACAGCCCACAACCGAAAATGGACGACTATCAAAACTCATTAATGACTCAAGTTTCTCAATGAGTAATCACAGAGAAGATGAATAATGGCAAGCGTGACAAAACATTTTTCAGTATCCTATTAAAAATTGTCCTACCTGGACTATTTTTATCTCAGTATTTGAGAGTATATTAGAATTGAACCAGTAATGTATTGATTGCCAGTTCCTTCCTAATGCTGTACGTTTTGCCAGCACAATCATTATGTTCAATCGTTAATCAGTGATTAATTATTTAAGATATACCTCCACGACAACATCCATAAATTATTATTGTACATTCCACACAGACTATGGATCTGGACTTATTTCTAGCAGTGCCGTAACGTAAAAGTTTTGCATTTTTAACTGCATGTTAATTTTGCAAGGCTGTGATTCAGTTTCGACCAAACTAATACAGGTATGAGCAAACTCATGCAACATAGATATTGCCAGAATTGTAAGGTCTGTACAAAATCCATAGATGGCTCCATAAATAAACCCAGTCATTGGATATCATTGTGTATAGCCGTCTTTGAACGTTGATCATGCAAACAGCTGGGAATCTGGCTTTGATAACATCTTATTAATTAATCAGATATCTTGAAAATGACAAATTATCACTTACACCTTATTTAGCCAATAAATAGACAAAATACAAATGATCTACATATAATACTATAAAGTTAGTATTTTATTTGTTTATACCTGTTTATCATCTGGTGCGTCAAGAATTGAATTAATGTCTTCATCCAATCTGCAACACAATCCAAACGCAAAGATAAGTATAAACAGCAGAAAACCATAATTTTCTAGGTGTAATAATCTATATTATAGATTATTACATCTAGAAAATTATACACTATGCAAATGCCGTTTGTTCACGCTGCTACGTACCATCTTTTGAATAGAAAACTGATCATGGCAAAGATATAAAATCAGAATTTCTCTTATATCCATAAATGTATCTAATCAAAGTAGTGTTCAATAGCCGCGTTCACACGGAGCGAAGGAACTCGGGTCGAAAACGACCCGTGTCAAATGGCTAGCGTGGTAGAGATGGATTGGTAGGTTCTTTGGTCGCAGCTAGGTTTTATACTAGTTTCGCCAACGTTTTTAGTTACCCATCTGTTCTGCTTTTAACTTACAAAATTTTTACGTCAGCCGGCACCCGTGCCCTATCTTGACGGTTTTTTTGTACTTTTAAACATAAGTGAGCTCTAGACGGACGCGTAGTGTGTGTGCAGATGAAGCGCGTTTGTCATCCGCCCGTGCACGCACTAAAATGCTACGAAAATGTTTCGGTGCGCGCGGCCAATCTGAATGGAATCAATTTACTCCGCCGTTTCGAGATGCCCCCCACCCATTTGCTTCTTTTAAAAGTACGTCTAAAGAAAATCTGCGCCTAGTCAATAGGGCCATTGTGCTCTACTTACCCCGTACAATTTTAGTCAAAGTATTTCAACAAAATTGTGTATTTATTCTTACATATCGATCTTCACTAACTCGCCTCGTCCTCTGACTGTTGCTTCGTATCCTCCCTTGACCCGTCAGGTCCGCCCTAATCTCGTGGAAAGATACTCTCGCGACCGCGCCAATTTATTCGAGTCTGCCTTGACCCCTTATAGCCATGTTTTTATACTTGTCGTTAAATAAAAGTTTTTACTCTTACCTTGACCTCTACTTTCACTTGCAAGCGCTGTGCATCGGCTCTCGCATATACGCTCCCTAACTAATTTCTTGTCACTCTGACACTGGCTCTACCCTCCAATTCCTCGAACAATTCCGAATGATCTATTTTGACACGAAAAGGTTGGCACACGATTTGAACATCCAAGCAAGTTGTCCTCGCCCCGAACCTGATCTACATGTTTACTGCACGGTTAAATGTTGGGTGGCCCTGGCAGTGTTCAATTTTCACTGCCCGTCCTGAGAATACTAGGAAACATCATCTATCTTCCTACTCCTCCCGCAAAGTCAAGAACAGGGCTACTCCTTGTTGACCACGAATTTACTTCGAAACATCAACATTACTTAATGGATATGTTGCTATCGCCTCGCCATTAAATTCTGCGAGATCCCCTGCTTACTCCTGATCCTCGCTACCTATTGGCTTATTGAAGGCCGTATCCTGTTATGCAGGAAAACTAACCGTCCATCCTCGCTCTCCCTACTTCTCCTCTCTACCCTCGCTCCTCCCGTCTCCTACTCCCACTCTCTAATACTCCCCCGAGAAATCCACTGTTCTCAAAGTCTATGCGCCTGAGTCCGCTCGCACCTCGCGGGTAGTAGTCGAAAATGCTTTTGGGCGACTCAGAAGGACGATGGGAATTCTACTGAAATAACCGGTCTAAGACTCTGCATTTGCGTCATTAATCACGTCCCGCGATTGAATTGGGCAAACATCTCGTGCTTAGTCACTACGCATCAATATGCTGTGAACCATTCCGCGAGATCGTGTCGTTATCTCAACGGTGATACTTTTCATTCAATGAAGCTGGAGAATGTGATGCAACAGAGAAATCAATCTGAACGACGCCTCCAGGCTACACATCGTCGTGGCTGTTTGTGTCGGTTTGATGGCTTTAAGAGTCTATTTTTGAGAACATCCCGACTCGCTTGTAAATACAGTAAAACTTGCATAATGTCAGACACTCTGGGACGCTCACTACAGACACACTATTGTGACGACACACAACAAATCGGCAAGCATACACGCAACACACCCGAAAATTGCTGGCCCCTCCGAAACGTTCGCACTAACAACACAATACACAGACGCACCGAGTTTTACTGCATGCACAAATTTGCTATGCTAAGCTTTGTCGATACGAACGACAGAGACAACATCGGGTATTACTAGTGGTACTTTATAGTTATAGATAGGATAAATTCATCTCCTGCTGTGAACGACATAATAGCGTGTGGCCTGTCTGTTCAGAATGCTGTATTGAATCGTAAAGTTTCAGTCTAAACTGATGCAAACATACGAAATTCATGATTGCTTGCATTCCTTCTTTCTCTTCTTCTCTCCTGTCTACTTCTTTTGTCGATTTTCTTCTCTCTCCTGTCTTTCAATGCGGCGCGACTGCTCATGTCCGCATCTCCAAACTGGCTCATCAGACTCTTTCAATAGTCTAGACATAGACTCCAAAAACACATCGCTCTGCTTTTCTGTTTCTGTTCCTTTTTCCTGCTCCCCTTCTCGCTAAAAATAACGTGAGAGCAATTTAATATTATAAAATTATTAAATTACTAATAAAATTAAATGTAAATCCTGTATGTTTTAAATATTAATTAATATTTCTTAATAATGATTAATTGATGATATATATGCATATTGAGTTGATATGATATATGGTCGAGTTAAAATTTGTGTCGGGCAACCAGACTCTTTCAATAATGTAAATTATTATAAAAGTAATATAAATAATATATATATAAATAAAATATATATTATATAAATATATAGTTATTTAATATATATAATGAAGTATTATTCATATATTGATTCTTAAATGATATAATATAGTGCTATATTGCGGCTGAGATATATGGTAATTGATAATGAATGGCTGTTACAATTGTGTTGTGCAACAGCACTCAAAGATTCTGGCATCATTGACCAAGAAATGGAGTAACATAGATAATAAATCATCTACCTTTGGGTGCTAGTGCGAACACTTCTTCCTTATTTCTGGCAGATTTATTCCTTTTTCATTGGATTAGGTGCTGCTGGCTGTAGGAACTGTATGCTGAAACATTTTGGTCTCTTTTAGTTTTATTCGGGCTGATGATTATGACTGCAGACTTAAATTAGTCTAATCATATGTCTATCTACTCAATTCTTTAAATTTAGCGGCGATACTTCAAAGAAAGACCTACCTGAACACCCACCGTGTTGTGTTGCATATACATATGACGGAGACACTAATTCGCCAATCAGCTGCAGTTTCCCACCGATCACTTATTAACTACAATGACAAAACACAAAATACAGTAACTTTCATTTTTGAGTCATCACTTATACTAAAAAAAGTCTGTAACAAATACTTCTGACATTATTCTGGCAAGGCAGAAAATAATTTAGCACATTGGACGCCTATTTTGTTCTGGCAAATGGGGAAAACCCGAGTATTAGCGCCTACTAAGTTACTACCATATGTCGTTGCTTCAAACGCATGATCAAAAATTGCTAGTTGTGTTAAATGCCAACATCCGCGAAACGCCCGTAGTCTGTGCTGTACACCATCGTGCCCTGCTGGTTAAATTAGTACGTGGGAGGGGGAGGCACCGATTGTGTCAGTCGGCTGTGGGGGCGTGTAGGGGTGTGCACCACTGGTATGAAGAGAGCGACAGCAAAACTCGTTCGTGGAGTTGAGAACAAAGCTGTAAAATTTACGATTTTACATGTAATACTGTAATATGATATGCACTGAACTAAAAATGTGCCTTGACGCTCAAGATTGCAAGTAAATTTGGATAAGTAAAACAAAATTCGGAACAAAGTAACATTGGTTCTTGTTGCCCGACAGTTTATTCAAATTGATCTATTGTGTAACTACAATCGTGTACTTACTATCCATTAAATCCTCTTCCTGCCTCATTGGATTGGTCATCCTCCACTACTGCCTCAGCCGATGACGATTCCAGCAACGCTGGTGGTTCATGCAAGGACGCCTTCCTGAATACTTCTCCAGATCATTAAAGTAGCTGCACGTTGTGCGCGCTCTTCCCGATCTGTTGTTGTTATCAACAACTTTCTTGTACTTTTCTTAATCTCCTTGAGGCGATTACATCACTTGCAGAATAGTTTTTATGATCCTCGCAATGTGCAAGTTTTTCTACGATGTCTTGGTAGACTACTCGATTTCTCGATGTCCCGTTAGTTGTTTGCCTGAATAAAACAGTTTTCCAGATCTCCAAAGCGCGACGTTTCTCTCGTGTATACCATAGTTCTGCTCTTTGTTGGCCATTTAAATATTTATACTAGTATATTTATAAAAATACTGAAATGTTAGATCGAAACTGTTGTTATTCGTGACTATATATAGGCAAGCCCGTTAGGGTGGTCAGAAGTTTGACTAACAAAATGCATGTAAAAACAATTGTATTAGATGGAGCCCTTGGTTATACATTGTTTTTTTTACACATTGGCCATTGGTGTTTCGTGTTGTGACGTACTAATTCCAACTCGAGTCGCCTGCGTTCACACGGAGCAAAAATGAACTCAGGACTCGAGTCGTTTTCGACTCGGTCGTTTTCGCACCCACTCTGGAGTGGTGCGAAACGCCTCGGGTCGAAACGACCCGAGTCGTTTTCGTACCGAAAAACGTCCGTGTGACACGCTCGTCCCGGGACGT